TATCCCAATGAACTCGATACTCCAGAACTATTTTCTTCGTTCGCGCAGGGCATCTCTCTCAAGAATAAAAGACTGATCTGGACTCTTACATATTGGGCCTATTGTATCAGCCCATCTTATATTCTACATTAGAATAGCCCTTAGTATAAATACGGTAATTTACCCTATTCTATGTATGTTATTCATTCTAAATTTCAGATCATCTTCTTCATCCAAATACTGCTTCCGCATTCTAAGCTTTTGTTCTAGTTTTGTAATTCTACGTGGTATCATATTAAGTGTCAATAATTTTTATTCTAGCGAACTCAATGCTCTAGAACTATTGTTTTATCCATGTTGAGCATTTCATTTATAATAATTTCCCAAGGAACTCAATGCTCTCGAACTATTGTTTCGTTCGCTCTGAGCACATCTGTCATAGTAGTGACCCAATAATCGTCCTCCATTCATCAACTTGTCTATGGTGAGCACGTCACTCTCACTGTTAACTCGATCTTTTTTTTATCTTCTCAAGAAAAATAGTCATTCCCTAGACAAGTAGTTAGCCTTGTTGTGTGGAGAAAAATTCACTTTATTATGTATATATGTATAGTATCTTTTGTAGCTCACGTTGACAAACTCCAGGAAGAACCTATGGAATGTTGAGTGTGAGCAAGAGCTGTTGAAGTTGCTTTCTAAACAACAGACATCTCGTATGAGATTGTTTGAAGTGATGGAAGCTCACAAGGTCACCCATGCTCCTGAATTAGCCAAGGTTCGCACAGAGATTAATGCAGTTAGAAAATAATATATTGATCCCACCTAAAAGAGATTGTAGAGCTTCAATTAGATACCTTGGCCGAAGAAGATAGTATTATCCAAGAGGATGTTCCTCCTTCAAGTTGGGGCACAACCCAAACAACAAGATTTGATATATTAATTGGCCTGAAAGCTAAGCACGATGCCTCATGGATCACTAGTTGGGACTTCTTCTTGAGGCGCTTAACTCAAAGCCTCTGGAGGCTGACCCTTCTCACAGAGATGTTCCCTTTGGTGAGCTCTCCATAGATGAAGATCTTGAATGGGTGATCCCTCGTCTCCATGCCTAAGCCGTTGAGTCGGGAGGATTCCTCTCTTGCCCGTCTCCATGTATGGGAGAGTGAAGGAGATAGGCTTCCATAATATGACCTTTATCTTATCATGCCCCTCTTTTTTTTAGTGCTTGAGTTGTTAGAATAGTGTTGAATTTCATGAAAATGATTATTCTAATATATATTGTACTTTTTTCTAATTATCATTGTTGTTAGTATGGCTAATATCGTTATTTTAATAGATGATCACGTTGCAACCATGCCTAGTCTTGACGTGGTCAACATGACCATTTTCTTTTGTAGTAGTGCATGACAGTATCACACTGAGCATAAAACATTAAAACTCGGTACATCCCTCTTCCCGAATCTCTCCCCACATGTCAGATATGAACTTTTACCTCAAAGGGGCGACACCAAACACGTCACCATGACTAGAAAGTTACCGTAGACAAAAAGGAACAAGTCATCGTTCCTACGCTACGCACATCACTCAGCAGTGAGTGCAGAACCATGCTAAGCGACTGAACCTGATGTCCAGGTCGACACGAGGCACATGAGATTGTAATATGATACTAATTGCTACCATCTTGATTAGATAAGATCAAATGGGGAATGCTTATTTGATAATTGTATATTAATTTGTGTATATGTAACAATGATCAAACGTGTACTCTAATTATCCGTATAATTTATATCAAGTTTTAAATTTAACACAATAAATTATTCACATTACTCATGAAATGAATTATTTCCAAAATAATTTAACTTCATCCGTCATCATCGGTACAGTTTAGCCATGTTGCATCGATGCCCGCATGTAGAATTCATGCATGTATCCTCAATCCTCAAGCAATAATCTCTTCTGCCATGCATTTCCTCGCCTTGATAACAATGTTGCTTGTGTCCTCACCATCCATCACCACATCACAACATTCACATCTGCCAATCTGATGACGTATATATACAAACCGACTTTTATTATGCACATTCTAATTTCACGTAATCCACATTTGAGTTTTACTTTTCATTTTGCACATTTCAATTTCACTTAATGCAAATTTCAATTTTATCAAATGCATAATTCAATTTCACATAATACAATCCAACGGTTCAGATTCATTCTCATTTCTCTCCTAGCTAGAAGTCCTTTCTCACTGGAACAACTCCCTATAGGGTAAGGTTCAAGTGAGAAGAACCCTTTAGGTGAGAAGTGAGAATGAATCTCAGCGATTGGATTCGACTAAGTTGCGGTAAAAGACACTACATGATGCACTGAAATATGCAATCTAGCACGGGTGCATTTCTGTAAATACTTCTGAAAAATCTGTATTACACTTGTCTAGTGCAACATGAAGCTATTTCGGTGCAACGCCGTCAAATATTAGTGCAACATGAAACATTTTTAGTGCAACATTGCAACATTTAAATATTACTGCAACATAAAGCCATTTTTAGTGCAAGTTCGTGAATCTAACGGTTGAGATTCATTCTCATTTCTCACAGTGGATGCATTTCTCACTTGAACCAATACACACACACACAGTGAGAAAAATAGGCTAGATTTAACAGTTGAGTTTCATTCTCATTTCTCACATTATATTAAAATTATTTCTCATAGTAGTAGTTGAAAAATATTTACAAAAAAATATTTATCAAAAAAATATTTATTTATTTACCAAGACATATATGTCCTAATAAACTTTTAATATGTTAAACATAACTTATAAAGCCAAATGCGTAACTTTTACAACTTTTTAAATTACTATGCAGTTCGTAGCCTAAGAACACTTCTCACCTGCTCCGCTCCCTGTATGTATGTATGTATGTATGTATGTATGTATGTATGTATGTATGTATGTATGTATGTATGTATGTATGTATGTATGTATGTATGTATGTATGTATGTATGTATGTATGTATGTATGTATGTATGTATGTATGTATGTATGTATGTATGTATGTATGTATGTATGTATGTATGTATGTATGTATGTATGTATGTATGTATGTATGTATGTATGTATGTATGTATGTATGTATGTATGTATGTATGTATGTATGTATGTATGTATGTATGTATGTATGTATGTATGTATGTATGTATGTATGTATGTATGTATGTATGTATGTATGTATGTATGTATGTATGTATGTATGTATGTATGTATGTATGTATGTATGTATGTATGTATGTATGTATGTATGTATGTATGTATGTATGTATGTATGTATGTATGTATGTATGTATGTATGTATGTATGTATGTATGTATGTATGTATGTATGTATGTATGTATGTATGTATGTATGTATGTATGTATGTATGTATGTATGTATGTATGTATGTATGTATGTATGTATGTATGTATGTATGTATGTATGTATGTATGTATGTATGCATGCATGTATGTATAGGGTAAAAAAATACAAATTCATCTCACCCGTCCAAAATTACAAGATCAACAATGGGCCACTAACAACCAGCCGTTAGTGGGGGAAGTAATCCCTATTTTTTTCAACTCCACGTGGTTAGGCAATTTTGGAGAAATTTTAGGATCTTCCACAATAATACACGGTTAATCTCATCGAAATGGATGGTTAGGATTAATTTGTACTTTGTAAATTAAGATGACTTTGTAAGTGATCCTATATATATATATGTTTTGGTTCAAATAAGAACATGATCTTATGAGAAAAATGAGAATGAATCTGGACCGTTAGATTTGCTTTATGTGAAATTCAATGTGCATTAGATGAAGATGTAATGTGTATTAGGTGGAATTGAAATGTGCAGCACAAAGGGTACAATGTCGTGGCATTATGTGAAGCTAAATTGTGCATTAGGTAGATTTGAAATGTGCATTAGATGAAACTAAAATGTGCAGAATAAAAGGTACAATGTGATGTTATTTTTGTACCTTTTATTCTGCACATTTTAGTTTCACCTAATGCACATGTGAGTTTAAATTTTTATCCTGCACATTTCGATATCATCTAATGCACACTTCGATTTCACCAAATGCACAATTCAGTTCCACATAATTCAATCCAACGGTCCAGATTCGTTCTTATTTCTCTCCTAAGATCCGTTCTTACTGGAACCGCTCCCTATATATATATATATATATATATATATATATATATATATATATATATATATATATATATAGGAATGATCATGTACATATGGATGTACGGGGGGCTCCGTACGGACAAAGCCATTAGAGGCCCTTCCGGGTGGAATTTTTTTATGAAATTTTTTGAGCATGTTCTTCATCAAGTCTAGTTTATCCATACCAAATTTCAGTTCAAAATTCGATCAGGAAGGCAGTCAAATAAATTCTTGAAATATATGGCGCATTCTGCGCACATATAATGTGCAGTATATTTCAAGAATTTATTTGACTGCCTTCCCGATCGAATTTTGAGCTGAAATTTGGTATGGATAAACTAGACTTGATGAAGAACATGCTCAAAAAATTTCATCAAAAAATTCGACCGGGAAGGGCCTCGGATGGCTTTGTCCGTACGGAGCTTCCTGTACATCCATATGTACAGGAATAGCCCTCTATATATATATATATATATATATATATATATATATATATATATATATATATATATATATATATATATATATATATATATATATATATATTATTGGGATATATTATCCCGACCTATTACTGTTCAGGAGCCCAAGACATTATCCAGTACGGAGCCCGAGCAGCTAGGCCCATTTCGGCCCATTAGGCCCAATATTGGCCCGTTTGGCCCATTAGGGTGGAGAGCACCCTTTCCTCTTTGTCTATAAATAGGGAGCTTAGCCTCCATGTAAAGGGTTCCTTCTTCCCTTCCTCCTCTAGATATAGCTTACAAGACTCCATTAATGGGAGCTCAAAATGTACTATGTAATGGTGAGGAGAGTCCTAATGTGGGAGACTCCATTCGGGTTTCCACGTAAAAACTGAGTGTTCACACATATATTTACTATATCGTGTTGGATTAAACTCAACACTGGCGCCGTCTGTGGGAATCTGTCCAAAAAGATTCATGTGTTCTACACAAATTTCATACGAGAATGCACTGATTTCAGCAAAAAGAAGAAAAAATCTGGAACTGTGGTCTTGGGAAGCCCCGAATCTGAGGCAGTAATATGGCTGCCAGCCGTACCTGCCCAATCGACCAAGCAAGGAGGAAGAAGGGAGGAAGAATGGAAGAATCTGGGTTTCTCCCTGATTTAAGCTGGAAGCGTCTGTCACCTCCTGCGGCCCCGTATCGTCTGGAGCTGACTGTCCCGCTGGAGTTCGCTGAATATGGTAGAAGGTCACCACGACGACCCAGGTTTCGTTGCACCGCTGATGGTCCGCCGCCGCCGCCGCCGCCGGCCGGAGCGTTCACCGTTCCTCGGGACTCGCCCGGTGCCGCACCCATCACGGGCAACTCCCAGGTCCGTTTAAACCAGCCTCCACGAACCCAGTGGCTCTTGACGATCTGCAGGGGCGGAATAGTACTCAGGGGAGATGGCGGAGGAAGAAAATCGGACCCTGACAGCCACTCCTCTGCCGCAGACGCTCTGCTTCTTCGCCGGTCCTGGCTCGCCTCTCTACTACCGCTGCAGCACCATCGCCTGACGCCGACCCTTTCTCCGTCTCAGCTCAACCTCCAGCCAGATGTCGATACCTCCGACGTTTGGCCTTGGGGTGGTGAGCCGGTGCTTCAACAGTTCAACTTGCTGTCCAAAGGATGTGGAGTACTGCATATCGTTCAGATGGTGTGGTCCTCATAAAGCCACGTGAGTAGAGGAGGGGTGGCCGTATAAGTTTTGGAGAATGTTGACTGAGTCAAAATTGCAAGGGAACCAAATCAATTTTCCCTCATGCTAGCTGGCCGAACATTTACCCAAAGCTAAGTACCTACACCTTTAAATTGGTACACTTAATTGTTAATAGTTTAAGCTATTAGTATTGCTAGTATTTTTATCACCATTATTTATTAGGGATTAAAACTCCCGAAATTAAATAATGAGAGTGATGCTCTAAGTGATAATTACTTCACCGTCATTTTAATTTAATGACTGGTTGTTGTGGGCCCGTCAGCCTGCTCCTGTCGGCTTTAATTAGCGAACGGAGTATACTTGAATGGCCTTTGGTAGGATAGTATTATTACTATTACTTGTTACATCACTATTATTTATTGAGGGATAAAATATCCCGAATTAAATAATGCGGCGTGAAGCTCTAGTGATGGTTGGTTCAGCCAACATTTTATTGAATATTTAATTTCTTGTGGGCCTGTTGGCCCGCTCTCGATCAGCTTGATTAAGCGGTCCGAGCGTCTCCAGTAGGGCGATGCCCCGACGACGCATTTTAATTTGAGAGTTGCGCAGTAGTTCGCACGGCACTACGTGCCCGATCGACGATCGTACCCCAATATCATATGCGCCATTAGGCACGAAATGACTATTGCCGAACGTGGCCTATGGGGCCCGAGGGCACCAAAGCACTCCACCTCGTTTTTCCGAGGGCAGTGTGACCAACTTGGGTCTGAGTTCGAAAACTCACAGACCGATGAATATGTCCATGTGACGTTCGGCGGGCTGCTCATTGGCCCCGCCGCAGGCTGTACGTCCAGCAATTCCGCACGGTGAGCCGGGCCGAGGCTCGTGATAGCCGTAGGCTGGCAATCGTGGATGTCATGCAGATGGCTATGTGTGCATACATATTGTCGGGCCATACGGCCCATTATCATGCTTATTGCGCAGCTGAAGCCACTCGACGCGCTTGAGCGAAATGATTAGAAGACGCTCGGCCCGAGTCCTGAAGACGTGCAGGGCCGGCTAAAGAGGAGACCATCACGGCTGAGGACCGTGAGACGAGCATCTCCACCTAGAGGCCGAGGGCCTAGAGGAGACCACCACGGTTGAGAACCGTGGGACGAGCATCTCCACCCCAGAGACCGATGGCCTAGGAAGAACACCTAGAGGCCGATGATCTAGAGGGAACTGCCACGGCGAAGAACCATGAGACGATCATTCGTCATTCAGAGGCCGAAGGCCTAGAGGAGACCGCCACGGCCGAGGGCCAACTGACGCAATCATATCACGACCGGCCTCTCGGCACGGCGTGATTATCATCTTTTGAAGACCGGCCTCGTCCCCCGCACTGCGCGGATTAGGACCGTTGCTTGGATTTCAGGTCGGCCTATCATTGTCGACATCATTATATCATGACCGGCCTATCGGCACGGCATGATTATCTTATTTGAAGACCGGGCTCATCCCCGCGATGCGTGGATGAGGACCGTTGCTTGGATTTCAGGTCGGCCTCTCATTGCCGACACCATTGTGTCACGACCGGCCTCCCGGCTCGGTGTGCTTCCCATATTTGAAGACCGGTTTCATCCCCGCTCCTCGCGGATGACGGCCGTTGCTTGTTTTCTCAGATCGGCTTCTCAGTGCCAACATCATTATATCACGACCGGCCTCTCGGCACGGCGTGATTATCATCTTTTGAAGACCGGCCTCGTCCCCGCGCTGCGCGGACGAAGACCGTTGCTGGATTTCTTTCAGGTCGGCCTCTCACCGCCGACATCATTATATCACGACCGGCCTCTCGGACCGGCGTGATTATCATATTCGAAGACCGGCCTCGTCCCCGCCACCTCGCGGACGAGGACCGTTGCTTGACCATATCTGATCGGCATCTCATTGCCGACATTATCATACCACGACCGGCCTCTCGGCTCGGCGTGCTTATCTTTTGAAGACCGGCCTCGTCCCTGCCCTCGCGGACGAGGACCGTTGCTTGATTTTCTCAGATCGGCCGCTCATTGCCGACACCATTATACCACGACCGGCCTCTCGGCTCGGCGTGCTTATCTTTTGAAGACCGGCCTCGTCCCCGCCCTCGCGGACGAGGACCGTTGCTTGATTTTCTCAGATCGGCCGCTCATTGCCGACACCATTATACCACGACCGGCCTCTCGGCTCGGCGTGCTTATCTTTTGAAGACCGGCCTCGTCCCCGCCACCTCGCGGACGAGGACCGTTGTTTGATTCTTTCAGGTCGGCCTCTCACTGCCGACACTATCATGTTATGTTCGGCCTCTCGGCACGACATATTTATCTTTTGAAGACCGGTTTCATCCCCGCGCTGCATTGGATGAGAGCCGTTGCTCGGATATATCGGCCTGACCTGGACACTATTGCCGTCTCCATTATCAGGACCGACTGCTCAGCGACATTATGACCATTGTTTGTTGGATCCCAATGCCGACCCTCTTGAGTTTGCGATCGGGCTCACGACTCCCCTCCAGGAGGGTGACCATCGCCTTCGCATGACGACCAGCTATTCTATCGCCTCGTCATTATATTCGTTCGCTATGCCACCACCATTATGTGTGACATCCCGTGATCCCTGCGAGTTTCTTGGATACCGAATGTCTTCTTCGATGTAGGAAGATCGGTAGGACCACGGACCAGGGACGGACAAAGAAGAGCTAGGGAATCTCGATGTAGATAAACCTGTTCCTCCTTGCGAGTTTCGCGGATACCGAACGTCTCTTCGAAGCAAGAGCGCCGGTAGGACCAAGAACCAAGGACGAACGAAGAATATAGATTGCCTCCCTCAAACAAAAAAAAAAGATGGGGAGAAGAGGAGGTGAGCTCCTATGTGGAAGGGAATCTTGACCGGGCGTGCCAGATCTTCTCCCACCGCCGAAGACGAACGCCTCTCGATGTAGAGGTTAGTAGAGACGCGGAGGGGGCTAGACGAACCAAGGGAGCTTTGCCAAGATAAACCTGTTTATCCCACAATGACCATGGATCGATGGACGTGGGATAACAAAGCCGGGAACCCGTGAGGGTAAACCAGTTCGTCCCTGCGAGTTCCTTGGATACCGAACGTCCTCTTCGAAGCAAGAGACGCCGGTAGGACTAAAAGGACCACGAACGAACGAAAAAGGGGGAATCTCGATGTAGATAAACCTGTTCCTCCTTGCGAGTTTCGAGGATACCGGACATCCTTCGAAGTAAGGACGCCGGTAGGACCAAGAACCAAGGACGAACGAAGACTAAAAGACTCCAAAAAAAAAAAAAAGATGCTAGAAGAGCACGGAGCAAAGAATGATTTTATCCCTTGGCGCTATTGGCCGGGAAGTACAAACTGAAAAACATATGTAAAGAATAATTACAAAACTTAAGTACGAAGAATGAAGTGGCCGACGACGATCGGCTAACATCAGGCTTTCTTTTGCCTTGGACGACGAATACCAGCTCCCCAGATCAGACAGAGGGACGACGCCCAGGTCCACCCTTCCTCCCAGGATGAAGTCCTGACAGACGATCGGCTTCTCAGCGCCATCGTGTCCTGATTCACGGTTCGGCTCGCCCATTCCCTTCCAGGATGGCGACGAACGTCTTATGCAGTGCGATCGGCCCCTCAGCGCCATCGTACCTGGCTTCACGGTTCGGCTCGTCCATCCCTTCCAGGGTGGCGACGAACGTCTTATGCATCACGATCGGCCCCTCAGTGCCATCGTGTCCAGACTCACGGTTCGGCTCGCCCATTCCCTCCAGGATGGCGACGACCGTCTTATGCAGTACGATCGGCCCCTTAGCGCCATCGTACCCAGCTCAGGTTCAGCTCGTCCATCCCTTCCAGGGTGGCGACGAACGTCTTATGCATCACGATCGACCCCTCAGCGCCATCGTGTCCAGAGCCACGGTTCGGCTCGCCCATTCCCTTCCAGGATGGCGACGAACGTCTCTTATGCAGCACGATCAGCGCCCCAGCGCCATCGTGTCTGGCTCACGTTAGGGTCGCCCATCCCTTCCAGGATGGCGACGAACGTCTTTTATGCAGCACGATCAGCGCCATCGAACCCAGCTCACGTTCAGCTCGTCCATCCCTTCCAGGGTGGCGACGAACGTCTTATGCATCACGATCGGCCCCTCAGCGCCATCGTGTCCAGAGCCACGGTTCGGCTCGCCCATTCCCTTCAGGATGTCGACGACCGTCTTATGCAGTACGATCGGCCCCCTTAGCGCCATCGTACCCAGCTCACGTTCAGCTCGTCCATCCCTTCCAGGGTGGCGACGAACGTCTTATGCATCACGATCGGCCCCTCAGCGCCATCGTGTCCAGAGCCACGGTTCGGCTCGCCCATTCCCTTCCAGGATGGCGACGAACGTCTCTTATGCAGCACGATCAGCACCCCAGTGCCATCGTGTCTGGCTCACGTTAGGGTCGCCCATCCCTTCCAGGATGGCGACGAACGTCTTTTATGCAGCACGATCAGCGCCCCAGCGCCATCGTGTCTGGCTCACGTTAGGGTCGCCCAGCCCTTCCAGGATGGCGACGAACGTCTCTTATGCAGCACGATCGGCCCCTCAGCGCCAACGTATCTGGCTCACGTTAGGGTCGCCCATCCCTTCCAGGATGGCGACGAACGTCTCTTATGCAGCACGATCAGCGCCCCAGCGCCATCGTGTCTGGCTCACGTTAGGGTCACCCATCCCTTCTAGGATGGCGACGAACGTCTCTTATGCAGCACGATCAGCGCCCCAGCGCCATCGTGTCTGGCCCACGTTAGGGTCGCCCATCCCTTCCAGGATGGCGGCGAACGTCTCTTATGCAGCACGATCAGCGCCCCAGCGCCATCGTGTCTGGCTCATGTTAGGGTCGCCCATCCCTTCCAGGATGGCGACGAACGTCTTTTATGCAGCACGATCAGCGCCCCAGCGCCATCGTGTCTGGCTCACGTTAGGGTCGCCCATCCCTTCCAGGATGGCGACGAACGTCTTTTATGCAGCACGATCAGCGCCCCAGCGCCATCGTGTCTGGCTCACGTTAGGGTCGCCCAGCCCTTCCAGGATGGCGACGAACGTCTCTTATGCAGCACGATCAGCGCCCCAGCGCCATCGTGTCTGGCTCACGTTAGGGTCGCCCATCCCTTCCAGGATGGCGACGAACGTCTCTTATGCAGCACGATCATGGCTCACGTTAGGGTCCCCCATCCCTTCCAGGATGGCGACGAACGTCTCTTATGCAGCACGATCAGCGCCCCAGCGCCATCGTGTCTGGCTCACGTTAGGGTCGCCCATCCCTTCCAGGATGGCGACGAACGTCTCTTATGCAGCACGATCAGCGTCCCAGCGCCATCGTGTCTGGCTCACGTTTGGGTCACCCACTCCTTCCAGGATGGCGGCGAACGTCTCTTATGCAGCATAATTGACCCCTCGGCGGCATCATGTCTAGTCCATCTTCGGCTCCGCCCATGCCATCCCGGATGGGGGACCCGTCTTGTACAGCACGTCTGCCTCTCGTTGAGAGCTACCGCTCCTATCACATCTTGCATTCTCTCTCTCATACATTGCACCCATATATTACATGCATTCATGCATCATACCTCATACATTCATACATACACACGTGCATCATGTTTTGACAGTACCGCGACGTCGGTTTTTAGATGCATGGACCTCTCAGCTTCTCCGATTGGAAAGCTCGAGTCAGAGTCCTTTACTCCCGCCTGATGCATTCAGGGGGAGTGTGCCCGTGGAGGAGCACCCTTCGCCCGACCCCGTCGGGAAGGGGGGTGCCTCACCGGCAGATTACGTTCAGGAGTGCAGACACCCACTCATATATTATGATTATTCGAAGACACAGTTTCCAGCAAGACAGGGGAAGAGCGCAGGCAAGAGTATATTTTCTCGAGCAGATTCGCGAGCTCACTACTCAAGAAACTGGGGGACTTGTGTTGGGATATATTATCCCGGCCTATTACTGTTCAGGAGCCCAAGACATTATCCAGTACGGAGCCCGAGCAGCTAGGCCCATTTGCTAGGCCCATTTCGGCCCATTAGGCCCAATATTGGCCCGTTTGGCCCATTTGGCCCATTAGGGTGGAGAGCACCCTTTCCCCTTTGTCTATAAATAGGGAGCTTAGCCTCCATGTAAAGGGTTCCTTCTTCCCTTCCTCCTCTAGATATAGCTTACAAGACTCCATTAATGGGAGCTCAAAATGTACTATGTAATGGTGAGGAGAGTCCTAATGAGAAAGAGAGGGCTTGGACATTAGCCTAAAAAGTCCCGTGGTTTTCTCCCTTTCGGGTTTCCACGTAAAAACTGAGTGTTCATACATATATTTACTATATCGTGTTGGATTAAACTCAATATATATATATATATATATATATATATATATATATATATGTATGTATGTATGTATATATAACTATATTATGATATACATGTAAATATAGTTGTTGAGGTTTATTCCTTCAACCCTTGGACCCAACACGTAAGCCCAAAGATTTCGAGTGGATTGATTGTATGTGTATGTGAATATCTAGCCCAACAACTTTTAGATGGATCAGGAAACAGAGAAAATAGCAGGCAATGTAAGTAGGTATTATTAACTTCGTAATAACTCCCCTAAGTACAATCTACTTGCTAAAAAGGCACGTCGGCCGTTCGTCTTACAAGGCAGTTAGAATTGCTACAAGTAAGAAGGCTGAAGCTAGTATGCTAAGAGTAGAAAGTTGCCAACCCTTTACAATGAAATAAATGCTTCTATTTATACCCGCTAATGGGCAGGTGGCTATGCTGACGTGGAGGCCTGTGGACCGCTTGTGTCCCAACCACCAAATCTTCTGCATTAAATGCACTTCCCGCCAGAATCTAGGTTTCCCGCCTAATAATGGGGACGTTCGTCCGCCCGAGAAGTGAGTTGGATCGCCCCAAGTGACCCTCAGGAGATACCGGCTGTTCGTCCCCTGGCCTTATAGATATTCACCATGTGGACTGGGCTTCCTCCGATGGCTTATAGGCTTGCCATGGGGACGTTCGTCGTCATCCCTGGGGGCCCGTGGCCCTGCTCTTTGTCCCTACATTGCCGTTCGTCGGGGGGAGCCGCTGGGCCTGAATCCCCAACCCCAGACGTTCGTCCATCCTCAAGGAACATGGGCCTGTGGGCTGGCCTAGTGTTCTAACTAGACGTGCGTCTGGCAAAATGGGTTAGTGGGCCGGACCTCGGCTTGGGCCCTTAACCCAACACAAGTCCCCCCACTTCTGATGTTCTGTGCTTGCGCAGGACATAAGGAAGTAGGAATTCCCTCAAGGTAGACGTTCGTGTCTTGATACTTGTGTTTTCTGCACCCGTCGGAAGCGTACGCTCGTGGTCATGGTGCTTGACAGCTGTCGACGGTTCAGGAAACGAGGTGACGGCCGATGTTGCGGCGGTGCATGTTCCCGAGGAAGTGCCATCATTGCGCTTTCATCCCACGCACGGCGCGTGGGCCGGACCACGCTCTTTGCTACGTGTCAACCCCTCGTTGGCCTCTTAAACGGTGCTCCCCCTATAAATGCCGGGTTTTCCCCTTGAACTAGGGTTCCCAATTTCTGCTCCCTTGCTTTAGAATCTCCGCTGTTCTTCGAGTTCTCTGCACGGTTTCTGAGTTCAGTTAATCTCTTCGTAAGGTAATTTCCCTTCTGCTTCCTTTTCTATCTTGATTTCTCGCTGAAATGACTTCGATGGAGATTTCGTCAAGTTCCGATTCCGGTTCGTCGGGTTCCTCTTCGGACTCCTCTTCTGATAATGTGGATGCGCGCTCCCCGGGGAGGGCCAACATTTCTGGGACTTCTGGTTCGGCAACGACGGTAGGGACCATCCGGGCTGATGATGAACCGGATGACGCTTCCCAAGGCAGTGGGAGCGACGCCGGGGGTGGAAATGCTGACGGGGCAGTAGATGTTATCGATGCAGTCCCCTTGAATGAGCGCCCCGCTGATTATGATTCTGGGGAGGAGGCCGAATCAGGCTCCGACATGGAGGTGCACGATCTGGGCATCCCTACGGACATGGAGCGCCACATCTGTCCGATCAGAAGCGCCCTCGATCATGACCAAGTCCTCTCCCGCGTGGCCCTTAACAAAATCCGCACATTCTCCCCCCCGCCGTTCATCTGAAGCGTGAGAGGCGCCGAGCACGTGATGAGGAGACGTCCGGGGATGGTCATGCTTCACTTGGACTCCGTTGAAGCCGGGCTGCGGTTTCCACTCCACGCCTTTTATGTGGAGTTCTTCCACTGCTTCCAAGTGGCCCCGGCGCAATTCATGCCAAATTCTTATAGGTTCATATCGGCCTTCTTGGTGCGCTGCAAACTTGCGGGAGTCGATGCCACCCTGGAACTGTTCCACTACTTCTTCCGGATCACCCCCCAGAACTCCGACGGGTATCTGAGCGTGGCCGCTCGTCCGGGAAGGAGGCTGTTTAAGACCTACCCCTCCTCCATCCATGACTGGAAGAACCGGTTCTTCTTCCTTCGCTATGATGGTCCTCCCCTCCCAGTTCGTTGGAATGGCTACCCCCCGAAGATAGAGTCGCCGGAGCTGACCGACGATCTGAGTGAGGCCGTGGAAGGCATCCTGCAGGGCGGCATTCGCCCCATAGCTGGCTATCTGACCTTCGAGGCACTCTCGGGGGCAGGCATAGGTACCGCCCGTGTCCTTGGACTCTTTCCACCCTTCGACGCTCGTCTCGGGGCACCGGGCGGTCCTGTCCTTCAAGGTGAGTGTCCTTTTGCATTCTCTGTTCGTCTTCTAACCGTTTATTGTTTCCCCGCAGGTTCTCCGCCAGATAGAGCTCAAATGAATCACGCCGAGTGCCTGAAAACTAGGAAGGCCAAGGCGGCCGCTGCTAAGGCTGCACTGGCGAAGGCCAAGAATGCCCCGGCCTCGGATTCCAACTCCTCGGCCTCTGACGCTGCCCGACGAACTGCCGAGGGTGAGCAGCACTTGATCGCCACTATGCTGGCCCAGGGTTCCGGGGCCCCTGCTCTCGAAGCTGCCCTCCCACCGCCGGCCGTCTTCACGAAGGCGGCTCCTCAGAAGGGGACGGAGAGGGTCCCCGAGAAGAAACAGAAGAGGGGCCGTGAGGCAGGCTCCACTGGTCCCCTGCTTGAAGATGCCGGCTCTCTGCCATTGAGCCGCCCGACGGAAGAGCTTTGGAGGGAGATGGCCCTCAAGGCCGGTCTCGAGCTGCCCCGCCGTTCGTCGTCTGAGGCGACCAGCGCTGCCCTGGCAGCCGCTCTTCAGGTAATTCCTCATTGCTAGATCCGAGTACATTTTTTCCTTGACGTTCCTCTCCTGACCATTACTTTCTCTTCTGTCATCCAGTCTGGGCTTCTAGTCCTTCAGGCTGAAGCTGCCAGGGAGGCCGATCTGAAGGAGGCCAAGGCCAAGGCTGATGCGGCCGTTGCTACGGCCCGGGAGGCCGCCCGTCGGGCTGAGGCGGAGGCAGCGGCTAAGGGAAAGGAGATTGCAGCCCTGCAGGCTGAATCCCGCAGTCAACTAGCCGGTCTTGAGAGAGCCGGCTTTAAGCTTGTCCCGGTGCTTCCTGCTGCCAAGGATGCCACCCCGGAGTGGTTGGTCGACACCTCCGGTTATCGGAACACTGGGGAGTTCATGGATTCCGCCAAGGACTACTGCGCCGGGGCCTTCGGCGCTGTGTTCTCCGCGGCGCTGGCGAAGATCCCGCCCCGGCAGCGCCTGGCGTGCGGCGTGCGGATCCTGGAGAGCTCCCCCTTGTCGCACAAGTTCCTCTACGAGGTCGGCGACAGCTCCTTCGCCGCTGGCTACAATGAGGGGGTCAAGGCCACCCTTCCCATTTTCTCGAGGCTGCAGGGGGCCGACTTCGAGCTTGCTGCAAATACAGACGACGATCTGCTGCTTCAAGCCTTGGGGAAGTTGGGGAGAGACCAACGGCGGGAGGAGGCCAAGGCTAGAGGGGAAGTTCCGGAACCCCCGTCCCCCGAGCCCGAAGCCGAGGAGGAGGAGCAGATCCCGGGAGGCAGCCGGCCTGAGTCCCCTTTCATGGTGTAAATGTAAATTGTAATCTTTTCATTTTGCGCTTGTAATGCCCGGCCGTTAGAGCCGAAGAATATACGCAACTTTTGCCCAAATTGTCTCTACGTTCATGATCTTTACTTCGTTATTTTTGCTTTCGTTTCCCTCATCGTCTGTTGTATGGGAACTCCTTCGGCGCCTCGATACACTTTGTCGCAAGGTTCAAGTCTGCGAGGACGTTCGTATCTGTTCCCTACTTGCTTAAGGCAATGGCGTCCCTTTGTCAAAGTACTCAAGTGTGTGGAGGTACGGCCCGAGCCCGTTTCGGGCGCCGATGCAAGGCTCTGATGCCGGCTCACCGTCCTCAAAGTACTCTGACAATGAAACGACACTCGTCGGCGGCTTACGGTGTATACTCAAAGTGTGGACGTATGAACGTACTTCTCAGCATCAGCGTTCGGTAACGACGTTCGTCCGTCGTCGCGTGACGTGAATACTCAAGCTAAGTATGGAAGGACGAACGTAGTCCGTTGATGCATATGTCTCCCACTAGCCGCCGATATTAGGGACAACCGATGGTCGTGATCTCCGGGCGTCCCGAGTTCCCCGCTGGACGTTCGTGGCCTCGTTCCAGCACCCTTGCCAAGATTATGCGGCGACGGAATCGAGGCACCTTAAATACCGTGGTAGGTACCGGTACCCAGGCGCCACGTGTCCTACTTCGGTTGGTGTGTCCCCGCGGTGCTGCCTATAAGTACTCTGAACCCATGTAGTTCATTTATACTTCTCCTTACGCTGCACAATTGTCTTCTCTCTCTAGATTTCTCTCAACCGTATCGGAACCTCGAACTCCAAAGGTACCGTTCGTTGCCATGTCTTCCGAAAATCGCTTCGACGATGGCTGTTCTTCCGGTGATGACCTGGAATATTATGAGCGGGGGATGCCGCCCCGGCCTCCCCGCTACAGTCTCAGCTTCTCGTGCGTCAGGCGTCAAATCCAGCGTCTAACGAATGCGGACAAGCGTCTGATCAGCCAATGGTTCTACCCTCCAAGGGCCTACGACGATCGGCGTCTGCGCAACCCCATGCGCCATCTGCCCGGCTATGTGGTGGTCCACTTGGATTCGGTGATAGCCGGGCTGAACTTTCCCCTGCATGGCTTCCACTTGGAGCTTTTCAGGGCCCTTGAGATAGTGCCTGCGCAGTTCGTCCCTGCCGCCTATCGGATAATCGCTGGCTTCATCATTAGATGCCACAGCGTCGGTGTGATCCCCACCGTGGACCTGCTGCACCATTTCTTCCGTCTGTCCCCCTTCGGACGCACAGGGTATTTGGCCCTTATCGCCCGTCCGTCCATGGTCCTATTCTCGAACAATGCTGGGAATCCAGACGGTTGGGAAGAACGCTTCTTCCTGGCCGGAGTAGGCTTACCGATGCCATTCTCTGACCGGTGGAATGCTTACCCCGTGAAGACGATCCCGCCGCCCATGACGGACGAGGAGCTCGGATATGCCAAGCGCATAGCCGGACTTGGCATCCAGAACCTCCGGTTGCTGGTGGCCGAGCCCTTTAAAGCTCAGGCTGGATTAGGTGCGTCCGTTTGTACTTGTATTGTTTTAACCCCCCTTCGCTGTTATGGCTCTGAACGTCTTGGTTCCCTTTGTGCAGGCATTTTTCCGTCCACGTCTATGATGAGCCGAGTCAACGCCGCTTCGGCTACCGCCGGTCGTGAGCACAAGGGGCATGACAAGCCCGGGAAGCCGCTCGTCCCCAAGATCGAACCTCGGGTGACCAGGGCGCGAGCTGATGACGCTTCGGGGGTCGGCGCCTCCAAGAGGCCGCGTGTTGAGGGCACCTCCTCCAAGGCCATCATCGTGGCCGATGACTCCGATGGGGAGCCCGGAAGTCCCCTCAAGCGGAAGCGCACTTCTCGGACCAATCTCCGTGCCTCTCCTCCGAGGAATTCCGACGTCCGCCGTCTCCGGGATGGTGATACCCCAACCGCCAAAGGTTCTGACGACGCCCGTCCAAACTCTCCCCCAGAAGCCAGTGAGTCTTCTCTTGGCCTGATCGAGTTTTCTGGGGTTGGCCCCCGCAAGGAGTCTATGATGCTCTTTGGCCAGACAGCATCCTCCATCTGGTGTGGGCTGAATCTCAAGGTCCCGCAGGATTTCGCTGCTCAGGAGGCCCCTGAAGATCTCTTGGAGTGCGGCCAGAGCACTCTGGACAAGGCCGGGCTCTACTTCCACAGGGCTCGGATGGCCTTTGAGCACCAGGGCAGGGAGATGGCCAGAGTCCGGGCTGAATGTGACGCCCTCCTGAGGAATGCCAAAGGCAGGGCCGGAACTCTTCAAGAGAAAGCCGATGCATACGATAAGCTCGTCCAGGAGAATGCCTCTCAGAAGGAGCTCCTCAAGAAGCAGGAGGCCGAGCTTGTGGATCTCCGCAGCCGGATGTGGGCCGTAGAGCAGGCCAAGGTGGAGCTCCGCCAGACGGGCGTGGACAACCATGTCCCTATTTATGAGGCCGATGTTGCCAAAATCAAGGAGTCCGGGTCCATAGCGTTCCAGAGGTCCAAGGCTTATACTGGCGCCATTCACACCATGGCCATGAAGTTCCTTCCGCGGCTCGTCGGCGAGTTCCTGGCCACCTGCCCGGATGCCTATCTGGATGGGGTTAAATTGCTCCAGGCCACCCCCACCGGACGTCGTTTTCTTGACGATCTTGCCGATGACACCTACCGCAAGGGTATGGTTGGTTTAGTAGCGGAGAATCTCCCGACGTTCGAGCGCCACTTCGGGGCTCCCTTCGATCCGGAGGCGGCTGGCTTTGACGTCCTGATGGCAGATGCCCATGCGGGGGCCCTTGAGCTGCTGAAGGAGCAGGAGGAAGCCGAAGCTAGTGAAAAATCCAAGCAGACTCTTTCCAAAGCTCCAGCTCCGAACGTCGATCGGTAGTGATTCTCCGTTCATTACCTTGTACTTGTACAATTTTTTCCATTATTTGCATTGTACCTTCGCACCTTGTAGTTTTCCGGCCAACAGTGCCGAAGAATAAAAATTAAAATCATTCTTTGCTCCATGCTCTTCTGGCATCTTTTTTTTTTTTTTTTTTTTTTTTTCGGAGTCTTTTAGTCTTCGTTCGTCCTTGGTCCTTGGTTCTACCGGCGTTCCTACTTCGAGGAGACGTTCGGTACCCGTAGACATCGCAAGGAGGAACAGGTTTATCTACATCGAGATTCCCCCTTTTTTCGTTCGTCCGTGGTCCTTTTAGTCTTACCGGCGTCTCTTGCTTCGAAGAAGACGTTCGGTACCCAAGGAACTCGCAGGGACGAACAGGTTTACCCTCACGGGTTCCCGACTTTGTTATCCCACGTCCATCGATCCATGGTCATTTGTGGGATAAACAGGTTTATCTTGGCAGGCTCCCTTGGTTCGTCTAGCCCCCTCCACGTCTCTACTAACCTCTGCATCGAGAGGCGTTCGTCTTCGGCGGTGGGGGAAGATCTGGCACGCCCGGGCAAGATTCCCTTCCGTACAGGAGCTACTCTCCTCTTCTCCCCATCTTTTTTTTTTCTTTTTTTTTTTTTTTTTTTAGGGAGGCAATCTATACTCTTCGTTCGTCATTGGTCCTTGGTCCTACCGGCGTTCCTACTTCGAGGAGACGTTCGGCATCCGCAGACATCTCAATGAGGAACAGGTTTATCTGCATCGAGATTCCCTGGTGCTTCGTTCGTCCTTGGTCCTTGGTCCTACCGGCGTTCCTACTTCGAGGAGACGATCGGTATCCGCAGACATCGCAAGGAGGAACAGGTTTATCTACGTCGAGATTCCCTTCTTTAGCAGTCGTTGGCAAGAACAGAAGTGATGAAAAAACAGGGGGCCTTTATTATTGACGACGTCCGGTCATTTTACATAGGAGTGGGAATAAAACAAGGACAACAGCCTCTCACTATTGATAGAACTTCTTCAGGTGTTCTACGTTCCACATCCCGGCATGGTTCCCCTCCAGGGTATGGAGGAGGAACGTCCCCTGGTTGTATCGTCTGATGACCCGGTAAGGTCCTTCCCAGTTCTTCGCCATTTTGCCACCTTCGAGCGGCTTGCTCTTCTCTCTTTTCCTGAGTACGAGGTCCCCGTCCTCTATTTCGCGGAATTTCACGGCCTTGTTGAAGTATCTCTGGGTGGCCCTGTGATATTCTTCCATGCGACGAGCCGCTAGGTCCCTCCGTTCCTCAATGAAATGGAGCTCCGCTCGTAGGTTGACCTCGTTGTCCTCCGGCTGGAAGTGCTTGGTGCGATGTGTAGGTACCAACACCTCCGTCGGTACCTTAGCTTGGAACCCATAAGCCAAAGCGAAAGGGGTTTCCCCAGTCGCCGTTCTGGGCGTTGTCCTATATGTCCACAAGACATAATTCAGCTGCTCCGGCCATGTGGAGGTGTAGTCTTCCAACTTCTTCTTGACCCCATCCATGATGGTCCGGTTCATGTTCTCCACTTGGCCGTTGGCTTGCGGGTAGGCCACCGAGGCCTTAGAGTGCCTGATGCCCCACTTCGCCAAGTATGCCTCAAAGCCTCTGCCGACGAACTGCCGGCCGTTGTCGGTGACGATCTGCTCTGGGATCCCGAAGCGGCAAATGATGTTCTGCCAGACGAACTTCTGGCACTGGAATTCAGTGATGGAGGCCAATGGTTCGGCCTCTACCCACTTTGTGAAGTAATCAATCGCCACGATGACGAACTTCCTCCCACCAGCAGCCGTTGGCAGAGGACCCAGCAAATCTATGCCCCACCTAGCAAAAGGTAGTGCGATGGTCATCGGGGTGTAGAAGCTCGCTGGACGACCAGGGACAGGTGCATACTGTTGGCATACTGCGCACTTCCGAGTGTGGTTGAAGCAATCTTGCTGTATGGTCGGCCAGTAATAGCCCTGCAGGATGATTTTTCTGGCCAAGGTTCGGGGGCCCTGGTGGCTGGAGCAGATCCCTTCATGTATTTCCTCGATCACCACTGCTGCCAGGCTCGGCGGGAGGCACCTGAGGTAAGGTCCGCCGAACGTCTTCTTGTAGAGCTGTCCGTCAATAAGTTCAAAGTTAGGGGCGCGCCTCTTTATCCACGCAGCTCTTCCTGTGCTGCCATCCTCTTCGGGCTCAGGGAGTGTTCCATCTCTGAGATAATCTGCTATCTCCTTTGCCCAGTTGGGTTCGGCAACGGAGATAACCTCCACCTGGATGACGTCCGTCGCCGGTGCTAGGAATACCTCCTGCCTAACGAAGCCTCTGATGTGTCGGGGGATGCTTGATGCCGGATCATCGGTTGGGGGGTTGCTCAGCTTTGACAGCATATCCGCCTCTGCATTCTCCACCCGCGATACCTGCTCAAGGACCACCTGCTCAAATTGCGCGGTTTGTTCCTCTGCCAGCTCCTTGTAGACCTTCATCCTCTCTTCCCTGGTTTCTGCAGTGCCGTTCATCTGGGTTACCACCAGCTGGCTGTCCAACCTCACCTTCAGACGAGCTGCTCCGAGGGCTCTCGCGCATTTCAGCCCCGCGATAAGCGCCTCGTACTCAGCCTCGTTGTTGGTGACCTTGAACTCAAATTTCATAGAGTAGTAGGCTTTGAAACCCTCGGGGGAAGTGATCACCGCTCCCCCGCCACAGCCCCGCGCACTCGAGGCCCCATCGGTGTACATCTCCCACCAATTGTCAAAGTCGTTGCTATCATGGGATTCGTCCTTGGTGCGCGCGGTACATTCCGCAATGAAGTCCGCCAGTGCCTGTCCTTTGATTGCCGGCCTCGGTTTGAAGTCCACGTCGTACTGGCCGATCATCAAGGACCACTTGGTTATTCTTCCGCTTGCCATTGGATTCCTGAGGACTGTGGCGAGGGGTTGCGTCGTGTAGACGGTCACCGGGTGTGCTTGGAAATACGGCGCCAGGCGCTTGATGGATGCAATCAAGGCGAGGATCGTCTTCTCCATCAGTGTGTATCTCGTCTCGGGGCCGTTCAGCGCCTTACTCACAAAGTATATTGGCCGCTGAACGCCTTCAGACTCCTTCAGCAGCACGGCACTTACAGCCAGATCGGCTACTGCCAAATACATGTACAATCTCTCCCCGGGATCCGCTTTGGTGAGGACGAGCGGAGAGGAGAGATATACCTTGAAATCCTCGAAAGCAGCCTGACACTCCGGGGTCCATTCAAAGGGATTGGCCTTCTTCATGATCTGGAAAAAGGGAATCGCCTTATCAGCCAGCTTGGATAAGAATCTGCTCAGGGCCGCCAGACGCCCGGTGAGGCGCTGCACGTCTTTTAGGTTCTTCGGGGCTTCCATGTCCATAATTGCCTTCACCTTCTCCGGGTTAGGCTCGATCCCCCGCTCGCTCATCATGTAGCCGAGGAACTTGCCGCCCCTGACGGCGAAGGCACACTTCTTCGGATTGAGCCTCATGCTGGCTCTCTCCATGATGCCGAAGACCCTCTCCATGTCCTGGACATGGTCCTCCTTTTTCTTGCTCTTGATCAGGATGTCATCCACGTAAGCTTCCATTGTCTTCCCAAGTACGTCCTCGAACAACATCCCAATCATCCTCTGAAAAGTAGCCATGGCGTTCCTCAGGCCGAACGGCATGACGATGTAGCAATATACGCCGTCCGCCGTAACGAACGCCGTTTTTTTCGGCATCATCGGGGTGCATGAACACCTGATGGTAGCCCCTGAATGCGTCCATGAAGCTGAGCAGCTCGCAGCCTGCTGTCTCATCCACCAGCAAGTCGATCCTCGGGACAGGGTAAGGATCCATCGGACAAGCTTTGTTTAGGTCCGAGTAATCGACGCACATCCGCCAAGTGTCGCCCTTCGGGACTAGTACCACGTTGGCCAACCACTCCACGTGGATGACCGGCCGGATGTGTTTAATGCTGAGGAGAGTTGCCGTCTCCTTCCTGATGAAATCGCGTCGGTCGGCCGCCATATACCTTTTCTTTTGCTGTACGGGCTTGGCGTCCGACCGCACGGCGAGTCTATGGCATATGAGGTTGGGGTCGATGCCCGGCATGTCCTCCGGTCCTCTGGCGAATAAGATCCTGAACCTTCGAAGGACCGCTATGACCCCGGCTCTGATTTCCGGCTCTAGGTCCGCCCCGATGGACACCTTCCTGTCCGTCGGGTCGTCGAGCTCGATTTCTTCCAGCAGAGTTGCTGGTTCCAGATGAGCGTCCAAGTCGGCCTGTTTGGCCTTCTCGGAGATGCTGTTGACCCGAGCCTCCCGCTCGTTGAGCTTCTCCATGGCCTTCGTGTAGCAGGCCCTGGCCATATGTGGGTCCGTACGTGCCACCCCCACTCCAGTGTCGGTGGGGAATTTGATGCATGAATGTCGTACGGAGCATATGGCCCCCAAGTCTTCCAAGCCGGGTCGGCCCAAAATGGCGTTGTGGGCGCATTTTAAGCGGACCACGACGAACGTCATCCCGATCCGGGCAGTGTGAGGGTCGTCGCCGATCTCTATCGGCAAGATGATGGTGCCCTCTGCGTCAATGCAATCCCCAGTGAAGCCGGACAGCGGGGTGCGCAGAGGGTGCAGCATGTCCTTTTTGAGCTTCATCCCCTCGAAGGCCTCCCAGTAGAGGACGTTCACGCTGCTCCCCGGTATCGACAAGGACGCGGCGGACGATGGCATCGTTTACGTCCATGCTGATCACCAGCTCGTCTCTGTGCGGCGCTGGTGACATCGGCAGATCGGCGGGACCGAAGGTGATTGCTTCGATTTTGTTGCGCTTGGTGGGGGGTGCTGATACGGAACCCACGTAGAGTGATCTCTCGAATTTTTTCCGTTCGGCGGGTGTATCCCCTGTCTCAGCGCCCCCGAAGATCACCTTGATCTCCAACTTCTTCTTTTTGCCCTTTGGGCCAAGGGATCCCTCCGGACGTTTATCTGCACTTCGATAATCCACGTCCTGAGGTTCTGCCTCGCGCCGGTCGTCGCGGCGCCATGTCCGGTGCCTTGGGTTCGGTTTCTGCTGGCTGTTTTTGTTCAGCAGCTGGGTGAATTCGCCCAAGTACCCCTGGCGGATCAGCTCGTCGATTGCTTTCTTCAATTGGCTGCAATTGTCCGTCAGGTGGCCGGCCCTCTGATGGTATTCACAGTAGGCCGATTGGTCAAGCCCCATATGCTTCTTCATATCTTGGGGTTCCATCAGGAGGCCCTTGTCCTTGATGGCCTCGAAGATCTGGCTCACTGGATAGGCCAATGGGATATAGCGGTCGTCCGGCCGCGTCTGACTGT